GGCGTGCATAAAACAGGATTTTCAGGCTGAGTAGGCCCCTAAGAGACGTCGTACCGTAGTTTGGCAGCGAGGCAAGACGTGGAGTACATCACATCCTTGCAGCGAAGACCGTTCACACCATAATGCCTTCAACCATGCAATAACCCCAACACAACCATCAGCATAGACTCCATCTTTGGAGTACAAGCTTGCTCATTGGCAGGCCTTTGCCCGGCGACATTTCATTCTTTGGGGTCTGAGTCCTGGCTGCACTAAAGAGGCAAAGCCCCGCCTACACCGTAAAGCCTCGCACTCAAGGGTGGAGGTTCTCCCTCTCCTGTCATACCGTCATGGTTTGAGACTGTGCAAAGGACCGGCCTCTTATAACATCAAGTGCGGGTTTTTGCAGAGTGGGCAGTAGAGTTGTAGCGCAATACGTGTTTGCAAGCAGTTTATGACTTTATGAGCGGTTGAATGTGTTGACATGCACCCCGGCTGCGCAGCTCGTAGTTTTGCAGGAAGCCGATCCGGGCCAGCTCGAGTGTTCTGCAATTTCTGAACGTTTCGACCCTTTTCTTCGATCACTCCGTCTCGCGCGACATGAATTGAAGTGGATTAGAGCTATATGGTGTTGGACTGCGGATACGTTGGCAGCAGGGACCGCCACGCGAGTACGACTCATGCCCCGGAACGTTGACCGCATCTTTTTATTGCGTGCCTCCTGTGGTGCTGTTGATACCGTTGCCCTGTTTCGGCCAACATCCATCAACCTGGTGCCCGTGATTGCGGCTTTCGCCATGATGTATCCTCTGGCAAGTCAGCCATGCACCCAGTTTCCCCTCCCCTTTCCAATTCTGGGCTTGCTTCGCAAAAGCATCATGTCTTGCAGACCTGCATGCTCGACCCATGCTATTTCCCCGCTTGCTTCAAGAAATTTACAGAATGTCGGAACCCCAGCTGGTGTGGTTTGGGATGATAAGATGACAGAAACCACCAGTTTGTAACTGTATGTAGTTTGGACCTTTCGTTACACACCGTTTGTTACACAACCTTTAGAAAGCTGAGACAGCAGCCATAACACTTGTGGTCCTACGGGACTCTGCAGCCTAAAACCTTTGGGATTGCATCGCGATGCAGACTTGGCTCAAAGTTCTCTGTGGCAGAGATCCAGCTCCGAGCGGAAAATGGAGGATTTCACCCAGCTCCTTTGCGCTGTCGCCCCTGATGGGCTCAAGGTCACCAAGTCCTTCGTTGAAAACTTGGCAGGAGCTGAGAGCGATTTCAAAGAGGCGAAGAAGAAGTATGAAAAGGACCGCTGGGGCTCAATTGGGCAGATTTTTGGACTAGGTTGGCCAACCCTCAGCGAAAATCAGTATAGTGCGTCGGAGTTGGGAACCATCAACAAACCTCAAATCAGGTTGGCAAATCCTTGTAAATACAATTTGCAGTTGACGAAGAGGGTTACTGCTGATCCAACATGCGCTTCTGGGTCATGAACAATCACGATACGTTGTGGAATTCAGCATAATGCACTGCTTTGCATGATGGCTGATTTGTAAACTTCCGCTTGAGAACTACTGTAGTCTTGATAACAGAAGGCAGAGCTGATGAACTGCGAGTTCGGAGTTGGGGAAGAGGGGTTGGATTGCACATGATACAAGACTGCTGGATTGATGGTGCCGTAACTATATTTGGGCTGGTGCCAGTGGAATCTCTCAAAGATTCCATCAGTTTTGAGGCTGGCACCGGTGTACTTGCACGTTGGTCGCAAACATGTCTTGTCAAAACCTGACGACATACCAACATGTAGTCCAAATGACTTTGCAAGTGTAGTTCAATCTTCGCATCCACAGTGAATGTATCTGAAATCAGCGGCGCGACGAACAAGATGAGTCTTTCCCCATGGTTGTTCTAATCTTCAACACACTCAATTTGCTCTTCGTTGAAGGGGCCGTTTGAATCGATGTGGCCGTTATCCTTTCCGCCTCCATGCAGGAGCGACGCCACGACTCAAACCCAAAGGCAGCCTTGGAGACGTACACGTGGGAGGTGATGAAAATCGCCATGAAGATCTTCGGCAAGTCTCTTTGGAAGGAGGTGGAACCAAAGTTGGAAAAGTTCATTGTGAACTGGGTCCGGGAGAATGGCAACTCAGCCGAGCTTTTCGTGGTTTCGGAATTCTTTGTGGCTTACGTAAGGATGGCATGGGGGCAGATCCGTCGGTCCTTGCATTCATCGAGCCTCTCGTGAACAGGCCAGATATTATCGAGCGAGTGCAGAAGGCCGGGAGCCCAGGCAAGGAGCCGCATGGCGACCATCCCGAGTCCCGGCGGGATTTCTCGGACTTTGCTAAGCATGATGGAGGTGTCGTCCTCGAGCCGGTTCCTGGCCATACCCATACCGCTCATCATTTCCACGACTTTCACCATCATGCCCCCGGGCCAGGTCAATGTCCCATGTGTTGAGCTCCCGGTCTCTGTCGGTTTTTGAACCATGAATCGCCGAAGCTCTAGCGACGGAAGGACGTGGATCTGGATAGTTTTGATGTGGTGAGCCAACCCTCTTGCACTACCTCTACCTCGCCGGTTTGGCCGGGTTTGAACTGAGTGCCGTCTCGGTGGTCATTTTCATGTTAAACCCCTCGCTTGGAGATCAAACCTTAACCCACACACCAACCATGCTGCTTTCTGTTCTTTCGCCGGGAGCCATGAACACATGTCCCATCGCGCCTTCAAAAGAGCATCAAGCTATCCAGGTTGCCATTTGGAGTCATAAAATGGCTTCACCCCTGCGAATCGCATCTTGAACTGGAGGCTTCGCTTCGGATATGTTGCAGGCTAGGTCCGGCTAGGCCTGCACTTGTACACATTCTGCTTCATCGGCATTGGAAACAATTTAGGGTTGAGGGTTGGGCTTGTATGGTTAGCATTGCTTAGCCAATCTTCCTGCTGTGCCTTCTCAAGCTTGTGAAGTTCTCTACAGACAGAGGCTCCGTCATTCACCGAAGTATTTGATGCCTAGTCATAGCTTGTCATTCGAAAATAGATAGCAAAGACAAGCAAGGCAGTCCATTTCCGTTTAGTTTGTGTTGACAGTTGGCAAACATTGGCCATACTTATCCCCTTCATTGGAAGCGAAGCCTCACTTTGACAGTGCTCACATGTGCCCACCGGGACTTGCCAAGCTTGCCGTTGGGCAGTGTGAACAGTGTGAATGTGTTTCACAACACAAGCTTCAATTTAGTTTACAAGCGCCCTGGCACAATCGGCAGATCGAAGAAAGAGCCTCTCTCTTGAATGCGCACCAAAAAACCCTAAACCCCAAACCCTAAACCCTAAACCCTATAATCCCTAAACCCTAAACCCGAATCCCTGGTAGCCTGGTAGCCGATTGGTACTGTCACGGAAGCCTTGTCACGTGCTGCTGCGCAGCCTGGCGAGCCCCCAAGCCCGAAGCCCCTCCGATGTTTTGAAGACCCGCCTGTACAAATCCGTACATCGGGCTGCAGGACCCTAAACCGGCAACCCGATATGAATCCACCCCAACAATTCCTGAGACCCTGTTATAGACCCTAAACCCGAAATTGAATCCTAAACCTCCTCACCGCAAATCCCGAGTTCTAAGACCTCTCAAGAACTTGAAATTGAAAGAAGCCCTGGGATCAAGGACCCTTGGAATTGTCAACGACTGGCTGGTGACCACCGGTCTCCGCAAAGAGCCCATCTCCTTGAGCTCGCGACTCTAAGAGAAAACAGAGCCGGGTCCGTATCGAGGTTATGACGTTGGCCTTGGGTTTCATGTCCAGGGCTTATCAATATCGACAAGAAGAAGAGGAAGAAGCCATGTAGGAGGCAAAAAAAGAGGAAGAAGCAAATCTGTGTTGAGGGTTGCAGGGCAGGAAATCCATGTGATCGAGGTAAAATACATTTGTATGCTTCGTACATTTCCATATGGTGTATCACAAGATAAGACAACAAAATATTAAATGTAATATTATGCCATCACAATAGGTTCAATAGCAAGACTGGAAGACCTCATCGGACAGGGTGCGAGACGTCAGAGCATAAAGGATTTCGTAAGTAGTCCGTGGGGGAGGCAGTGGGGAATAGGCCTGGAGGGTTTAGGGTTCCTGTAAGGGGTCTATAAGGGATATAAATATGTGTATATAAATGTAGGTGTACACATAGATAGATCGATCGATAGATAGATCGGTAGATCGGTAGATAGATAGATACATATATAGATAGGATTAGATTAGATTAGATTAGATTAGATTAGATTAGATTAGATTAGATTAGATTAGATTAGATTAGGTTAGATTAGATTAGATTAAACCAGGTCAGGTGAGGTTGGATAATATTAGGTTAGCTTAGACTAGTTTGGCTTTGATTAGATTGGGTTAGGTTAGATGGATAGATCGATAGACAGATCGACAGATAGATAGGTAGATAGATAGACAGGGCTTAATGTTTCAGGTTAAGGTCTGGGTTTAATTAAGGTATCGATTTTTTTTGTTGCTTCTTGTCCGGCTTCAGGCTTTCAAGGTTGATGATGTGGGTCTAGGCCTACTAGAGGAACTTGACAAAGGAGTTTCGTTAGTTAGTCACTAAATAGAAGTATCAAGGAGCCCAAAACCCTATTCTAACTGTTAAGGCCGCTACATTTATCAAGTCGTTCTTCAGGCTTCTTCAGGACTTTAGGACTCTCCACGCAGCACAAAGTATCCCGACTATTTTGGGGTTCCTTATTATAATTATGGTAACATGGGCCTCAAAACCCTATGCTAATTATTAAGGCCCCTACCATCACGGGGTTTAAGGAAGCTTCCGGAGCGTAGCCAATCAGTTGTCTAGAAAACCTAACGCAGCAAAGCACCTTCAATGTTGAATCTGAGGGTTTAGGGTTTAGGGTTTGGGTTTTTTCCGCCGAAACCCTGAACATCCCCCCTTTCGGGTGAGTTGTGCAAAGACTCAGCCGTAAAGCCTAAATCCATAAGCCCAGAACAGATTTGACCGTGACAGGCTACTACCTTTGCCAGGGCCTTAATTGGTCCTCGGAGGTTTTCGGGACTTGGTCTGGGTGCGCTAGCCCCCTTAAGGGGGCTGAATAAGCTAGTAGAGTAGACTCTATTAGTCATGTAGTTAGAATAGCCAGCAAGCTTCCCACCCCTACTTTTACTTTAATATCTGCCTGCGGAATTCCTTTTCTTCGATGCGGCGTGGCTTGAGGCTTAGGGCTGAAGAGTGGTGCATTTGACATAGTAGTGAGTCGAGGCAGAGTTGGTCGGAGACTGAGATCGGGACCATGTTTGGGTTTAGGGTTTGGGGTTTAGGGTTTAGGATGAGGTCGGGACCATGTTTGGAGGAATGTAGAGACCACACAGTCACAGTAAACATCTAGGTAGTAACCCCGATGCCGGGGTCCAGAAAATACCATTTGCAACATCAAGTAGTGTCAGTAGAGGCGTTCGATCGGATTTTCCTTATCAGCCCCAAGATTACAGTCTGTAGCATTGACGTCGCCGCGTCTTGAAGCTTGCTGGTTGTCTTGGCCGTAATTGTCAAACATTAGAAGTCGCCATTCGGCGCAACTGCCTACTGCAGCCTCAAGCCGCCCATCAAGGTGGCAGTGTCCCGGGCGGCTGTACGCAGCCTGCCGAGTGGGATGCAAGAAGGGCGGGAGGAAAGTTGGTATAGGCTTTACCATTTGGGATGAACGTAGCCGCGGGCACAGAACTCTGAGTTGTGATCAGCCAGGGTGAGAACACCCCTCCGAGACCAGTGACACTGTTCGGGAGTCGAGTTTGTGCGTGCTATCGGCAAGCATGTGCTGAAGGCACTCGCTAGGGTCGTGCAACTCAAGGAACGATCCGCTGCAGGCCTTCGTGCAGGTGGGATGTTGAAGTTGACTGTGCCCAGAGCTCTCCTATGCACCCTCTCGTAATCGCAGAGCTGCAACAGGCACATATGCCTATGCACTGATGACATATATGCGGCCCGCACACACACACACACATCCATATGGCACATCTACGTTTATACCTACAAGATTGTATCTGAGTGAATGTCCTGTGTCTGCATCTGACACTGCAGATAGAGAGGCGCGTAAGGAGCGACAGAGATTTACGCACTCACGAACGTAGACCCGCCACAAACGCACACGCATAACACATGTACATACATATTACATATATATAGAGAGAGAGATGTGTGTGTGTGTGTGCGTGACATGTATAATGTGTATATATATATATATATATGTATATACCCAAACCCAAACATCCAGCCAGCCAGCCAGCCAGCCAGCCAGCCATTTATTCCCGTCTATCGAATCCCATGCATGCCTGCATTGATGCGTCCTACATTCATATGTGCATGTCTGCACATTACATACACACATGAATGCATGCATGCAGGCTGGCAGGCATGCATGCGTACATGCATGTATACATTGTCCGTTCATACATGCAGACGTACTTGCATACATACTTGCATGCATACCTACACACACACATAAACACATGTGCATGTGCATACGTACATACGTACGTACGTACGTTCAAACATATACTTGCATACATACCTGCAGGTGCACGTGCCTACATATGTACGTGCATGCACACGCATATACTATTGTACTGGTATACGGACGTACGTACATTGATGTATACCGTCGTACCTATAGACACATACACGACTGCATAGATGCATACATGCATACCTGCAGCACATGCATAGCGTTCGTTAAAAATGTGCGTGGACGTACATGCGTGCGCACGGGGAACCTATCCATGCATGCGGAAGTGCGAGTGTGCGGCTGCATGCCTGCATTGTGCATCCCCCCGTTCGTCCCCACACTAGACATCGCATACATGCAGCACTGATTTATGCTGAATGAATGTAAGAAGTCATCCGCGGATGAACGCGTAAATTGGCAGATATGGGCGAAGGCACATATTGCAGACATGCAGCCGCTTTTACTAAGCGATTTCCACCAAAATACTGACACATAATGACAGAATGGCTTTGCATGCACATGTATTTACAGGCATGTGTAACCATGGACATTCATGCAAGAATGTCAAGCTACCTTTGCATATGACTTCGTATATGTATCTCTCTATGTATATATATATATATATACATATACGTCTATATTGTACAGTATGTATACATAAGCGTGTTTGTAAAGGCGCATGCATGCATACATCCATACATCCATGCATCATGCCTGCCTTCCACATGACTTTTCCGCTGGTTTACACGCATATCTGTACATGTAAAGAACATACACGTATATGTGCAGATACACACAAACCAAACATGCGAATACACAGCTATACATCCAAACAGGTGGCGATTCGGTCTTAATGCTCTTAGTGTATATGTATATGTATGTACGTTTTACATGTAAATGTGTATGTATGCGTAGATTTGTTCCATGCTTGCAATGCCTGTTTTAAGCTTGAGCCCGATAACAGGCATGGTCCGGACGAACGGCCTCTGGATTCGTGCGTCCGTGGCTGAGCATAGGAACCTGATGAAGAAATCCCTGGTGGTTTCATGGGGTCTCAACGTGGAGAAGACTGTTGAGTCTTGGTGATATAAAATCCGTTGCATCCCAGATCAAGTTCCGAGAATCCTTGTTCACTGTTTGTTTTAGGATGCGTGTTATCGCTTGGTAGCTTGCCGGCTTCGGGCCTGCAACACATCGGCTTAGTAGGTGGTTTGCATTGCAGTGGGCTACCACATGATGCCACACAGTATGCAACACGCGCACACACACACACACGCACGCGCGCGCACACGCAATCACTCTCTCCTCTTGTGCTCTCTCTCTTTCTCGCTCACACGCACACACACATGCATGCACACAGGGGTGCGTTCATATTCACCGAGGCCAGCAACGAAGCCAAATCCCAACTACCACGGAGCACCGAAACGCTTTTCGCAGCTAACTTACGTCGGCAAGCAGATTCTCCGTAAAGAAGCCGCTTTTCGGTTTCATGTAGCTGGTTCCTCCGCCTTCCATCAGGGACTGCAGACGAAGAGGCAGACGAGCTTCGTCGGCGCCTTGTTTTTGTTTTCGGATCCCTGTTCGGTTCCCGCTATCAGCACTGCTGACATGGGTTCTAAGTACCCGAAGTGTCTGCTCAAGTGTAACCGCGCAGCCGCAATAATTTCAAGGGGTGAAGGGCCAGGGCAGCTACAGCGTTTCTGTTTTCCATCCCCATGCAGGAACAGAGGCCCATGTCAACCGTGCTTCTAATTTAGCTGTAGAATGTCTTATGGTAGAGTTTGAAACGGAAACTCCAAATCAGTGTTCCAAAACATCTTGTCAAGGCACTTCGATAACGTTTCGCATCGTAACCTCCATAGCCACGAAGACGAAGAATCACCAAGTCAAGCACAAGCCAGTTTCATGCCGCGGTGATGTCTGCGAATGTCTGCGGCCTGCCCCACCATTGAGCTGCGCACGATCGCGGGAGATGTAATAGCCCGCGAGGAGCTCGACCCAGATGCCGTGCCCGAGCGTACAAAGTCAGCTGAGGGTTCTGGACAACTCAGACCCGATGTACATACCTACATACATATGTATATTATACATACATACTTGCTTACTTACTTCCCTTGTGTTATAACTGACTTGCTCAGTTGCTCACTTCCTCGCGTACTACAGGTCCACACCTTTCCCATATACACACATAAAAGATTAATATGTATATATGTGTATATATATATATATGTAATTTTATAAAGATCTACATATGCACACACATATTCGTTTATTTATCTTCGGTTGCTAGTTTCTTTACCTTTAGCTATGTGCAAACACGTAATGTTTGTTGCTGGTTTCTTTCTTTGTTTGTTCCCCACCCGAGGTGTGGGGTTGTTAGATTTTAAAGTCAGCTATTACTCCTCGCCCTTTGAGACTACCTCCTGGAGTGCCCAACCCCTCAGACTACCTTGAGACTCCCTGGAGTGCCAAACCCCACAGACGACCGTGAGACTCCCTGAAGTGCCCAACCCCACGAACTAACGGAGACTCCCTGAAGTGCCCAACTCCACAGACTACCGTGAGACTCCCTGGAGTGCCCAACCCCACAAACTACCGTGAGACTCGCTGGAGTGCCCAACCCCACAGACTACCGTGAGACTCGCTGGAGTGCCCAACCCCACAGACTACCGTGAGACTCATTGGAGTGCCCAACCCCACAGACTACCGTGAGATTCCGTTGGCCTAGAAAGTAGTTTGCATAGGTACAGTATGGCAAATGCTTTATCTGTAGGGTGGGATGTTCGAAGTAAAATAATCTGTTTGTTTGTTTGTCCGTCTGTCTGCTTGCTTGCTCGTTTAGCCGTGGACTAGCATGTGCAGCTGCTCACCTACTCAAGCTGCGAAGCCTGTAACACCTCACATCCTCAAGCTTGAGTTATAAGGACCCACCCCACGAATGGTGATGTAAAGTGAACCCAACATAGCTACCATTATCCCTTCCGGTCACTATCAGTGTGGGTGCGGGTGGGTGGTGGGGGGTGGGGAGGGCGCTCACCTCGCCCCTCGCCTACGAGCATCTTGAGACCCTTCAGCCAACATCTAAGAGTACTCGGAAGAAGGGCCCAAAGAAGAAGTTTGAGTTGTAGCCGGGGAGATAGATACTGTACAGGAATGGCCTAATGGAGAAGTGCCACAAGTCGCACGGCGACCGTCATAATGGTTGTTGACTTGTTGTTCCTAAACAGCCCTAGGCTCTGTCGAGTAAACTCCAAGGTCACAGGGCCCTGTATCCCAATTGAAACTATCCTGCTGCAGAGCCCTCCAAGCTTGTGGTAGGCGGGTGCCATCCAAGGTAGCCGTGGTTGCTTTGAAGAAGGTGCTAGCCGCAGGTCGAGACGAAGATGACGAAATGCTCCATAACTTCCTGTATGACGGGGCACTGATTTCGGAGAAGCCTGTCAGCATATTGGTTTCTGGTTTAAAAACGCGCTGGGACAAGGATCCGCTGTCCAAGGCCTTCGGGTTTGGGCTTTAGCACGCAGGGGCCCGTGCTGAAGCCCCAAAGCTGACATCAGAATGCAGGTTTCGTGCGACTCGCTATTGCTACTATCTAGCTCTAGCCTGCTGGAGCTACTGTAGTCATAACATACCACAGCAGGTTATAGCATGCTGTAATATATGCAATGTTTGGATATTGTAGGGCATGCCACAGTAAGGGCTAGGGCAGCTTCGTTGGACACGAACCCACAATTCAGCCAGACATCCCCTTCAGGCCTGGAGACGGAAAAGCATGGTGTGCCCAATGTAAACGCTAAAGTTGCGCTTTAGCCTGGTCAGCATGGCTTGCTGCAGATCCTCTGTCCTCGCAATTCCGGTTGTTGCTTGCGGTCCTGGGATTTTCAGTCCAGGGATGCGGGGTTTGGTGTTTCCAGCAGACGAGCATTTCGGGGCACCTTCCGTGGAGAGTCGAGGAGCGTGCTGGTCAGGGATCTCGGCTTTCCGGCAACCGGCACGGCCGAAATCTGTGTGGTGCCTTGGCTACATTAGCCCCCGAGCTTGTATCTCCCTATATATGCGGCTAAAGTATAACATGGTCTCAAATATACCATGGCAGAGGCATAGTATAACATACGATGATATGTACTAGTCTCGAAACCTTAGCTGCTGTCCACGAACATTGAGAAGAGAGGGAGAGTGAGAGACTGCACTCTGGTTGCTGAACAAGTCGTCTTGTCTCTAGCGAAGCCAAGGTTGTTGACAGTCGCCCCTCTTTCCAGTGGAAGTATTGCACCTCTGCGGAGTTGGAAGGAGTTGAATGTCCAGAAGTCCCATTTCGGGAGATGGTTCGTGCAGCATCTTCCTCTTTCCCTAACCCCCCAGGTACCTACTATATAGGGTACTAGAGCCCCTGGGGCCCTATATAGTAGGCACCTGGAGGGTTAGGGTTTGCTAACTTGCCCTGCGACAGCGAAACTCTCCAAACTGCATTGAACCAGTTCAGAGGCCCAGCTAGGCTATCAGCGGTTGGTGGGAGCCGTATATACAGCGTACATATGACACAGATAAACATACACACATACATACGTATATATGTATATGTGTATATGTATATACATGCGTATATATATATATATAGATAGATATGCTTATATATATATATATGTATACACCACGTATGCCGAAGCCCGCCCTGAAGCCTAGACCTGACCCCACAAAGGCCTCCGCTGAAGATCTTTCCTCTGAGCTTCTTTCGTGCCTCTCCTGCGCCCCCGCGATCTCGGCCAAGATGAAGCTCTTCACCGATACTAAGACAGGATGTACGCTATGATGTGATTATGCCGTGGGGCTCTTGGGGACTACGAGACCTCTTGGCTTCAAGGTCCGACAGTCACCGAGTGGTTGCACCAGACCGTTATCAGAGCACTAAGGACATGGACATGGATGCAACTCGCGTTTGGCACATTATAGTTGACGATCCACGAATGCACACGTACTCCTGTAAATGCACTTCTTCAGAAGTAATCCGTCCGTCTGTCTTGCTGCATTCTCACACATATGTATCCATGTGTGTGTGTGTGTATATATATATACACACACACACACTCTGTATTTCAGCACACACTCTTTCTCTCTCTCTCTCTCTGTAGACATGACCTATACATAACTATAAATTAACCCAGAAAAACCTACATGTACACATAGATGCACTGTACAACGTCCTCCGGCTCTGTCATCGAGACGAGTCCCCGATCGACCGAACGCGAAACTGTGTGGCTGCCATTGGGAAGAAGCTTCGTCGTGAACTTTGCTGGGTTGACGTGCTTTCCGGTCGAAGACCAAGCTGCGAAGCCTGAAATCTGACTTTATATGCTCGTGCGAACAGTAAGGCACTCCTGGCGAGGGCAAGATCAGCGAAGACGGCCCCTTGCCTCCAATCGCTCCTGAGCCCGACCCTGCTCAGACTCCACATGACCCTACACTCCACCGTAAAGCCCTTTATGAGTATGTTGCCCCGGTTTTTTGACAGCGTTCCATGACATGCTGCAGTATGAAGAGTCCACGAGAGTCCTCGCCTGGTCTTTGAAGCTATGAAGGTGGAGCCCCACCTGTCCAGGCTTTACCTCACAGGAGTGATCGCAAGCCCTAAGTCCCCAAAAGGTCGTAGCCTCCGAGGTGCAATCTATCACAGAGGCGGGACGGCCGGCGCCACGAACGGGGTGCGGGCAGCAGCTCCTCGACGCAGTCGGTAGGATTCGGACTTCAGTGTTCAAGGCTCCTTGGCATGGTGCTTCGACACTTCAATCCCATTCTTTTGCAAGCAGTACCACACTCGGTTTGTTTCGGTAGGGGTCCTGTACAACCGATGCGGATTGGAGCTTTGATTCTGTCAGGTCTTGCAAGAGGGCTCAAGGTAGGAAATTCCCAGAAACTGGTAGCACAGTCATGATTAAACGCGACCCCTAACCCTCCAGGTACCTACTATATAGGGCCCCAGGGGCTCTAGTACAATATACAGTAGGTACCTGGGGGGTTAGGGTGTTGTTTCAACTTTGCCTCGGCCGCTTGGGCCTTTCAGACACACGTCTACCTGGACCTAAGTCAAGAGACCCCTCATGAGATCCAGATGTCTCTCTGAGCAACTGGCTGCAATATCTGCATCTTAAATTTCTGATTCCCCCAAACCCTAAACGCTAAGTCGTACCTGCGGTGCGACTCTGTCAGCTGGGTGGGTGGGAAAAAGTCGTACTGTAGTTATGTTATCTTGTTTAGTGTTTGCAGGTGGTAGTGCAGTCGTGCGCGAGGGTTGTTGTGTACATAGTCCGACTGGTGTCTGAAGTGGTGAAGCTCCCCTGGGGTATGTATGGTTTTGTTCAGGATAGAGGGAGCGTTCAACTTCAGACCCCCGCTAGGAACCAGGAAATCGACGCAGGCACCTTCTAACAGTTGTCGGAACAACAGGACTAGAAACCACAGTCCAGATCTCTAACCCTAAACCCACAACCCCAAGCCCTAAACCCTAAACCCAACCCACAACCCTAGCCACTGCCATCCAAAATGCCAAGGCC